CAGTTTGACAGGCTTAGGACATGGGCCACGGCGCTGGATGGCTCCTCGCAGTTCGCGGGTTCCTCATTCGGAACCGGGCGCTTAGGTGTGGAACAGGAGGGTCCAGAGCTGACAGACCTCTCCCACACGACAGTGTCACAGTATGCAGCGCTCAGTGACATAAGTCGTGAGTGCTGCCCGCCAGCGACATCAAAGAGTTTGGACACGAGTGATTGTTTTTCCTGTAGTTCTGCAGTGAGGCGAAGGACTTCTTTACGGAGGTCTGCAATAGTGGCACGTCCCTCTCACGAAACTCCAATGTGAGGCGACTAATGTCGTTTATAGGGTTTGTGCAGTGTCGCTTTCCATGTCTGTGTAGGTTTAATAAAAGCTCATGACGTGGTGCCCTCGTGGTAGCCTCCGAGCTAGCACGTTTCAACTCACTTCACTGATCTGTCACAGTTCTTTGATAACAAGAGTCACGGAGATATGCCATCATTTGCTCCTTTTAGTTATATATCTCAACCTACACGTTCGTACGGCACTCTATATTACACCAAATGTGACAGAACCCTGAATAATCTGCACAGAGGAGCGCACAGTTACATTAAAAAGATAGCTGCACCAGATTTGCACCACACCACTTTCCATCTGCAGTCCTTGACTACAGCGGGAGCAGAGATGTGGTTAAGTGTTTTAAAATAACCCATAATAGATTTTATCCCTTGGCTCTGTTTTAAGGATGTAAAATTCCTCACACACACTTTTCTTACCACCTGCGATGAGATATCAAAACTGTTGGTTGCCGGTCTGAGTGCTGCCGCAGCTGTTAATAGCTGTGCATACTCTGTAAATTTATAGTGGACTTCAGGAGGAGAAGTGAAGGAGAACACAACCCCATCTGCATCAATGGGACCGCGGTGGAGAGGGTTCACAGTTTCAAGTTCCTTGCAACCCACATATCTGAGGACTTGTCCTGGACCATCAGCACCTCCAGCCTTGTCAAGAAGGCCCACCAGCGCCTTTTCTTCTTGAGAACTCTCAAGGAGAATCACATGTCCCTGTCCGTAATGCTGCATTTCTATCGCTCTGCCATAGAAAGCATTTTAACAAACTGCGTTATGACCTGGTATGGGAACTGTACAGTGGCGGAGCGGGAATCTCTACAGCGGGTGGTAAAGACAGCCCCACGCATCATTGGGGCTCCACTCTCTGCCCTCGAGAACATCCAGAGCCAGCGCACTCTGCGGCGGGTTCGTAAGATTGTGAAGGACTCCTCTCACACTGCACACAGACTCTTTAGCCTTCTGCCCTCTGGCCGCCGCTACAGGAGTCTCCGGGCTAGGACCAGTAGGCTAAGAGACAGTTTTTATCACAGAGCAGTCACACTCCTGAACACTCAACCAATTAAAGCCCACTAAATGCACTTTAATGTAATGTAATACAATTAATGTTTAAAGCAATAGCAGCTTGTACAGTCTCTCATGTATGCAAATATATTTATCTGTGTTGTAAATATTTCCTATACTTGCGCTATTGCACTACTGGTTAGACGCTAAACTGCATTTCGTTGCATTGTTCTGACTTTGTAATGACAATGAAGTTGAATCTAATCTAATCTAATCTAAAATACTGCTTCAGAGGACACCACACTGAGGGGCAGGAGCAGGACTCAGGAAAAAACAGAGGGAGATACCAGAGAGATGCCAGGGAAACAAATGAGACCGGAGAATACTAATAATGCATCGTTTTTATATAGCGCTTTTTTGGACACTCAAAGACGCTTCACATGTGTCATTATTCTTTCACTACTACTGTAGCCACAGCTGCCCTGGGGCACACTGACTGAAGCGAGGCAACCAATATGTGTCATCGGCCCCTCCGACCACCACCAACCATTCTAGGCAATGGGGGTAAAGTGTCTTGCCTAAGGACACAACGGCAGTTTGGCACTTTACAGCTGCAGCCGCCCCACTCTGGCAGGTGTTCCCAGAGGTTAAGTGTCTTGCCAAGGACACAACGACAGCAGACAGTCGGAGTCGATGGTGAATGTCAGGCTCGAACCCACGACCCTCTGGCTCAAAGGCCAATGCTCTACCAACTGAGCTACTGTCGCCTCAAAGACAGATTAAGTAGAGCAAAAATAAAACCAAACATGGTTTTCACAGGAGCAGATCTGAAGGGAATTCTTTCCCCTGATGTTGTGTGTCCTCTGATGTGGTGTGTGTCCCCTGATGTTGTGTGTCTTTTGAGCGCTGAAGACAGGTTGTTTTAGTGCTCTCTTGATCATTCCAGCTAAGCAGATTCTGGGCATCACCAGCAGCTTTCTCTGATGATCAGAACTAGCAGCAGATTTGTTTGCCTCATTTAAACTATTGTGTACTTTAACAGAAATGGTTGTGGTTAGAAACCCTTCGTATAATTCCTTGTTGATAGCATTTTTTCTGGGCACTGTAATCTAGTATCATTCCTGCGTATACCTGAGAAAGACCAGAGAGAGATCAGAGAGAAACTGGATACAGAGCCATTCGCCACAGTGTATAGAGTGAATGAACAATGCAGTAAAGAGACTTTGAGCATCATAAAAGAGCTTTATAAAACCAATGCATAATTCTCCTGGTATGTGCGTATGTCAGAGCCTTCATTGTATCTGTAAGAAATATGGTTTATCCACAATAGAATATTCACATAGATAATAGCAAATATTGACCAATCCTAATCTAATCTAATGCTGTGTGCCTCTGTGATCTTTTCTTCAAACACCATCCATCCATCCATCCATTTTCTACCCTTTAATCCATTTATGGGTCAGGGGGGTGGCAATCAGAGATGCCACCCAAGTCTCATAGCACCAGCCCCTCACTGACCCTCTGCAGGTGGTGAGTCCACAGGAGGACGGCTGCTCTCTGACTGTGAGCATAGCCTTGATCTTTCAGTGGGGGCTTTGGGCAAAGTGGGGTTAAGTGTCTTGCCCAAGGACACAACGACAGCAGTCATCAGTGGGAGTCGGTGGAGAAGGTGCAGAGGTGGGAATTGAACCCACAACCTTCTGGGCTTAAGGCCAATGCTCTACCAACTGAGCTACTGTCACCCCTTCTTCTGCAAACACACTGACAAAATATCAATGTGTCATGAGCTACATTTAGGTTTAAGCAGAGTAGAAAGAATGGACGGGCTTGGGTGAGGTGAGCAGAGAGAGACCGGACAGAGAAACTGGAGAGAGACAGAGAGAGAGCAGATAGAAATCAGAAAGAGAGACCAGAGAGCAGAGAGAGATCGCAGAAACTTGCACAGGGGGAAAACCTATACATAGACATGGGCAGAAAATGCAAATTTTAGAAGCGAGAGCACTAACCACTCAGCCACAGTGCGGCAGCACACACCAATATATAGGTAATATTGTAATTCAGGATTCATTATGGTGTAAAAATGATTGAAACAGAGATGTTTTTAGAATTAATATTCTGGTCACATCTGTTCAAATTAAAGTTTTCTTTGTGCACAATGGATTCAAACATGGCATTGAGAACAAATGGTAGCGATGATTGAGTGGAAGGAGAGCTATCAGAATAAAGGATAGGCTGAAGGATTTACCTTGTGTTAAAAAACATCTCTAATGGCATTTACTTTAGATATTTCATTCTGGAGAGAATGTCTGTGCCTGTGGTGAGTGGTACAGTATGTTCATTAACATGCACTGTCCTGACCAAATAAAACATTAAATAAAATATTAGAATAGTAATGAATTTGCTTGTTGTTGTCACTACATATATTAGCACTCTGCAGACGTCCTGGTTGCTCTCTGGTTTCGTTCTCTGGTCTCTCTATCTGGTCCCTCTTTCAGATCTCTCTCTGGGTCCTCAGCACCCGGAGGGAGGTTACAAAGGGAGAACATGCAAACTCCTCACAGAAAGACTCTGTTCCTTTTCTTTCTGGTCTCTATCTCTGATATCTCTCTAGACTCTCTCATTGGTCTATCTTTGGTCTTTCTCTCCAGACTCTCTCTGTCTGGTCTCCCACTCTTTGGTCTCTCTCTCTAGTCTCTCTACCTGTTCCCTCTCACGGGTCTCTCTCACTGGTCTTGCTCTGTATTCTCTCTCATTGCTCTCCCTTTGGGTCTGTCTGGTCTCTCTCGCTGGACTCCTTCTCACTGTTCACTGGTGATTTGGCACTTTGGATTGTTCTAAGTTAGACTCTTGTGTATCACTATAATGTGAAATCCACATTCCGTCAGACCCCTGGAGCTAAGCAGGGCAGGGCTAGTTAGCTCTGTGATTGGAGACCTCTGGGAACACCTAGAGCCACAGTGGGGCGGCTGTGACCGTAAAGTGCCACACATCTCTGGAGCTAAGCAGGGCAGGGCTGGTTTCAACTGTGACGGGAGACCTCTGGGAACCTCTGTAAAGTGCCAAACTGTGGTTATATCTTTTGACAAGACTCATCCTCCACATTAGAATGAGACTAAAGTAGTAATCTATCACCACAGTGAAATGGGGTCTCTCTGGTCTCTCTCTGGACTCTCTCTCACTGGTCATTTGTCGCTAAGACTCCAGCAGAGCACAGTGACAAATGCAGAAGGGGAAGTGAAAATAGAGATTATGAGATTAAATCACCCCATGGCCTTGACCCTGGTAGTGGTACCCCGTGGCTTATACCCTGGAGGTGGTCCCCCTGGCCTAGACTCTGGTGGTGGGAGCTATGAGAAGGGCTGAAGAGCTGGTCTGCATGGGGTAGTGAAGGGGAGGAGAGGAGTCGCTGCATTAGATGAAAGATTGGCGAAGGGCAGTTTAAATGCTGCTGGTCTGGTACTAAAGTGTTCTAATTGACAGTGATAGGCCAGAGCGCTGCTAAGGAATTTCCACAGTTACTTGTTTGTTGTGGGTAGGTTGCTAGCATTCATTACCAAATAGCAAAGTGTAATGGAAACAAGAGCAGAGCTGAATAGAGTAGGACCAAGTTGGGCAGGTCCTTGTTAACACCTACTGCTCTCCTCCTGTAACCACTCACTCCTCCGTTGGCAGGTGGGAGGTAACTGAATGGACCTCTTGCTCCTCCTCCTGTGGGGTAGGCCTGCAGACTCGGAGTGTGTTCTGTATGAAGCTGCTCTCTGTGGACCTCCAGGACGTTCTGACTGTCTCCGAGGACCAGTGCCGGGACATCAAACCCCCCATCCTCCAGCCATGCAACCAGCACGACTGCCCCCCGACCTGGGACACCGGGCCCTGGCTTCAGGTACAGGGACTTTCCAGTGCACAGGAACCCACCAGAGCACAGGGACTAATCAAAATTAGATTGGCTGTTTCACCTGAAGTACTCAAGTAGTCAAACTCTTCATACATAGACTGTAGTCTAATAGATAAGATAAGATAAGATAAGCTTTATTTTATCTCACAGAGGAGAAATTTACATGTCACCTTTGGCATGGATAGAGACACTCAGATTGTGCAAAAGGAGGAAATGTGCAAACATGTTACATGCAGGATATATATGTACAATAACAGTGACAATAATTATGTACAACAAAAGTGACAAGTGTCAATTGGAAACAGTGTCAATAGTAGTGTAGGTTTTCACACAGTGATCATTTAAAGTGACTTATTGTACAGTCTGACAGCAGTGGGGATAAAGGCCCTGCGGTAGCGCTCCTTCCTACACTGAGGGTGTCTCAGTCTTCCACTGAAGGAGCTCCTCAGCTCCTCTACAGTCCTGTGCAGTGGGTGGGAGGTGTTGTTCATGATGGAGGTGGCTTTGGCTAGCACCCTCCTGTCCCACACCTCCTCCACAGAGTCCAGGGAGCAGCCCAGAGTGGAGCTGGCCCTCCTAACCAGCTTGTTCAGTCTGTTTCTGTCCCGCTCTGTGCTGCCCGGGGCCCAGCACACGGCAGCGTAGTAGATGGCAGAAGCTACCACAGAGTCATAAAAAGTCCTGAGCAGAGGCCTGCTCACTCCGAAGGACCTCAGCCTCCTCAGAAGGAAGAGGCGACTTTGGCCCTTCTTGTACAGGGCGTTTAATAGGGAAGTGCTCATGGACAAAAGCCCTCTGTAACTTTTTCCATTTTGGGCTCTCTATTTCCTGAATGTTTTATTTTGATATTGTTTTTTGTAAATCCAGACTTGAGCCCCTCCATCTGATCAATTAGACGAGTCATTTTGGTTCCAAATCAAATCAATTGATTCTAAAAAAATAAGTACTAAATTAAAACTTAAATTACAGGTGGAAAACCAAGCTCAGTCCAGAACCAGTCCAGGACCAGTCCACAACCAGGCTCAGTCCAGGACCAGAACCTAGGAGAACTGCCATAGAATGTTGTTTGCCAAGCATTTTAAAATGGCTACACTAAAGTGAACAAAGCAGTCAAAATTAACTGCTAAGTTAGAACTCAGATTTCAAGATAAATAATGATGTAGAAATAAAGTACAGAACGAAACAGAAAAAAAGTCATAAAGATATAAAGAACATATATGTACATGAGATGTTACACATCCAAAACTAAAAGCCGTGAAATTGACTGTGAGTTCAGTCTTAACCTGAACATTTGAGGACATGGGTGGAGTCTGCTCTGCTCCTCCTGGGTCTGATAGAAAACCTGCAGCCACAGCAGCCCAAATGCATAATGTTCATGCTGAGGAGACTCCCATCGACGTCTCTCTTGGACACGGAATATTCTGTTATTTTCTACATTTTCACAAATCCACGATTCTCCTGCTGTTCCCAGTGTCCTCAGTCCTGTGGGGGAGGGGTGCAGCTCCGAAAGGTCTTCTGTAAGCAGCTGCTGTCCACAGGGGCCTATCGAGTTCTGAAGGACCGAGACTGTGGGGCCGACCCGCCACCAAGCACCCGAGTCTGTGCCAACTCGGACTGCGCCCCCTTCCTCAGCGCAGGGGACTGGACGAAGGTGAGCTTGGGTGAAGCAGGCATGTCCAAACCGAGTTAGATAAGCAGGGGTACCTAACCTTTATATCTACTTAAATCATACAAATGTTGACATTGTTGCATCTTAGATGCACATTCACAAAAATGTATGAGTTTAGTAAATCCAATGTGCGATTCTGCAAAACGCAGAGTGGAAGTGGTGGTCAGGCTTTGATGCTTGTAAGTTTGTAAGTCTCGAGATTGTCTCGGGACGTCTGATCACAGCAGACTCTGCTCACGGAGCTGCATCCATGGATGTATTATATTATTAAGTGCTACTTTTGCATCGCCTCTCGTATCCAGTCACACTGTCAACTCAGGGTGAAGATATATGACCACAAGCACTGTGTCCTCCATTGTCAGCCCTCGTTTAATCCTGGTTCAGCTCTTGCGTTGACTGTTTTCAAGTGTTTTCTTCCTGCTCTGAAAGGCATGTGTCCCCGTGACCACTTTGCTGCTCTCTGATTAGTTGCTGCATGTGCGCCGAACAAGGAAGCAAAGCAATATTCATTTCCTGCATTCGCTGCATGCGTCAAGATGCTGTATTCACCGCTCTGCTGCGCCGCAAAAACGCATCTGCTGTGGCAGGCAACATGCATGCTTCAAAGTACATGCTAATATCAATGCCAACGTACGTCACAAAAGACAAACTTGCCGCAACGTTTGGTCGGTGTGAATGCCAGTTGACGTGGCTATAGGGCATCTGTTTGGGATGCCTTCCAGGGGAAGACCCGGGAGATGCTGGAGGAACTTTCTCAGCCCGTGATGAACTGTGTGTAGAGAGGGAAGTGTGAAGAGTAGAGTTGAGTAGTGTCCTGTGTGATGTTCTGTTTGTGTCCCCAGTGTGATGAATGCTTGTGGTTTCTGTATGCTTTGTGTGTTCAGTATAATGTGTGTTTGTGTGCCCTGTGTGATATTGTGTTTATGTTTCCAGTGTTCTGTCTCCTGTGGACTTGGGGTCCAGCGCAGGGAGCCTCAATGCCAGCAGCTCACCTCCTCAGCCCAGCTCCTTACTCTTACCCGCGACCAGTGCTCCGACCTGTCCTCCCCCCCTCTCATACGCACCTGCCGCATGATGGCCTGCCCCAGTAAGACCTCAACCCCCACAGGACACACACCACAGCAGACACACACACACACACATACACGCACTCAACACTTATAATATGAAGTAGCATTCAAAAACACATAACGGAGAGTATTACATACAGTAATGAGTAGAGTAGGGCTGATGGAGACAAGGCTTTAGTGAAAAAAATCACAAATAAAATTCCTGTTTTTTGATCATGTATATGATATGTTAGGCCTGTGTCACTTCTTTTAGATTTACTTTTTCAGAGAGAAAAGTTCAAAAGAGATGACCACCCGCACTCAGCCAATGAGCTCTTAGCTCAGATTGTGACTCTCAGGGAGGGATCCCTCTTTCAAGAATACACAATAAAACATGAAAGAAAGACTTCACACAAAGATCTGATTTTTTCAAATTTTACTTTTACTAGAAGCTTTCTGTTAGGACAAACAACATGTATTATTTATAAGAATTGGGTCTAAGGAAATCAATTTGTTTTGTTATGGTTTTACCACTGCAATAAGTCATGTTGCAAGACTTGGGCTCGTATGTATTTGGTTTACATCACGCTCACGGAAGGAGAAAGAACTCTTCGGAGTACATTTTACTTAACAAACCTTGAAAGTACAACGCTAATCTCACAGCTTGTGCTTCCTTTCCCACTTTAACTTCGCTTTGTAACGACTGTGTTGTATGAATACTGAATACGGGAGATTCATTACAGCAGTAGTTAGAGTACTTTCAGGCTTTAGTTGCATTTATCTCAACAGCCAAGCTCCCTCTCAAACTCCCCGTCTGCAATAGGTGGCTCATGTTTCTTACAAATGGCTTATTCCTTCCCAGGTAGATTGTTGTATTACTAACACAAAGCCGATTGGAACCGCTATGTCTCTCTTTGGCAAAGCGTCCTCTTGCATTATAATGTGGGCTGAGGCTGGGGAGCTTAGTGACTTCGTGCAAAGAAAGTCAATGGGACAGAAAAAGCCGAGGGGCAGGATAGAGGATGGCCTTGCCGATCGCCCAGATACACGGCTTTAAATGCCGTCCTTCCGTTGGATTGGAAGGGATTGTGTAGCAGTCAGCTGGAAATGGGTGACTTTGAAAGAAACTAAACTGGGACCAAATCAATGTTTGAATGAATTTCTAGCAAACCAACAAACTCATGTACAAGAGTTCCAGCGCCAGGAACAAAGAAGTATATTCCTTACTCCTGCCCTTTAAAGCTTCTGATTCTTTGATATGTTGTGTTTGTGTGAGCAGAAAGTGTTAATAGGTATCAGAGAAGAGACCGATTAGAGCTAACTCAAACTGGCTGTCTAAGCAGGGATGAGAAGCTGAATACTTTCACACGTTTTTAGTAGCAATTACAGCCGATTTACATGTACCAAGAGCCAATCAGAACTCGACCGGTCTGTCCCACTCATCAGTTGTTAAGGCTCATCATCTGGATTTACACAATATATAACATTATAATAATAATAATATAACTGAGTAAAGACCAGGATCACAGAGAGGGATAAACCACAGATTCAAACCCAAAATCTTGAGTGTGACACAAACGTTTAGATATAGCTAATGGAGTTTTCTTTTACATGGAAGTCAATAGGACCCAGAGGGAGAAGCCAAACTTTGTCCATTAGCACTTCCCCATTGGGCATTGTTGAGTTTGGGGTTTGGATTGTCCATCTGTGTACAGTCTGTGCTCCAACAGAATAATAGAGAAGGGATTTATATTTTGTGTCTGGTGCATGTGTAAGCAATTCTGGCCCCTCCAACCAACACTCGATACATTTATGGAGTGCTCCCGCTGTCGCTGTTTAACAAGTTTAACAAGCTGGTACTAATGTGTTCTAACTGACAGAGATTAGCCAGGGTGCTGCTGGAAGCCATGGTTACTGGTTAGTTGTGGGGAGATTACGTGGATATGCTACCAGTTGCTAAAGCGTAATGGAAATACAACCTTACACAAGATACAATAATCGAGCACCACAAGGGCCTCATCTTATCTGAGAAACAGCATATTTTTTGTTTTTTTGTTATGTTAGATCTGTGGTGCTGACAAGATAGATTAGTGGCTTTTGAACTGCCATATTTGTGAACATCACGGTGCAAATTAGCCAAAAGTCTTGGAGGCAGAGCTTATCTCCAGCATCAGCATCACTTTGAACATACAGAAAATGGTCCTGGGATTACGGCTTGAACTTTGAAAATGTAGCCGGGCTTATCTTTCTATAGAGCACAGAGATTTCCTGTGAGAGCAAGCGGGAAAATCTCAGTAGCTGCACTAAAGGTTCTGAGTACAATATATAAAGAGTTGGCTTTGTATAAGAAGGATTATAAATGCAGCGCTACCAAGGCTCGACTAGAATGTATGTGGACTCCTTTCAAAGATGCGAAAATGCTGCAAAATGAACTCGCCAGTAGATTTATTGCTGCCTTTAATTTTAATTGATTGCTTCATTTCTATGTAAGATTTTGGTTATCTTGGTTTTCAAAGGGGTCCTTGAAATAACAAATTAAAAACAGCCACCGGTGTCAAAGAAAGTTTCAAATTTGATGAATTTGTGTATCGCCCTAAAGCACAACAGCAGTTGTCTCGGAGGACTTCACAAAGTTGTGGATTTAACAACAACAGATCGGAGAATCTAATCGTTTGAACACAAGAAGTGCAACAATAACAAATATATAGAACCACTATTTAGAAATGTTAATAAATATACAGAAATTAACAGGATCATCCGGGCAAGCTGTGAATCCAGGAATGAGGCAGTAGATCCAGGACTGAGGCTGTAGATCCAGGACTGAGGCAGTAGATCCAGGACTGAGGCTGTAGATCCAGGACTGAGGCTGTAGATCCAGGAATCAGAATGAAGGAGAATTGAGGCTGTGTGGTGAAGGACTATAACAATTCACTACTTACTGTATAATACAACAAAACACAAAAGTTACAAAATAGAAAATCAACATAAAGCACAAAACACTGTGTGATACATGCAAATGTGATTGCCACCTTATTTTTTGATTGACTATTACATCAGTTGCTGAGATTTTATTATTCTCTTGTGAAATGTTCTGAATGTTTGAACAGAGCAGAAGAAGGCGATGCAGCAGCAGGACCCTCTTCGTTTTCCCGTCCGTACGCAGCAGAAGCAGGTGAAAGGGTTTAAACCAGGGGTGAAGCAGTGTCCCCTGCTCCAGAGCCGTCACGCTATCTACATCCAGACACAGAGGGTTAACCGCCTGCAGCTCACCGCCGGGGGGCACGCTTACCTGCTGCCCCGCACATCTCTGATCCTCCGCTGCCCAGTCCAGAAGTTCCCCAGGAGCTCGATCCGCTGGTACAAAGACCAGACCCCTGTCACAGTCTCCAGAGGGATCGGTTTCACACAGTCTGGTTCGCTGAGGATCCAGAACCTCGGGCTGCAGCATGTGGGCGTGTACAAGTGCGTTGTTGGACCCGCCTCTGATATTTTCACTCTTCAGCTGATCGGGAAGGACAGCAAGACCAAGTTTAAAGGTCAGTGTCTATACCTTCTAAGAGGGTACCCTCTATACCCTCTAAAAAACATCAGGATCAGAAGCATAAGTCTGTCTAAAGCAGACTTAGAGATTTTTCATCTGCATTTGTCTCCAGTCGGTTAGACAACTGTAACAGCTGCTCCCCAAACAAGCAGCAGTATGTGTTTTGAATATAAGGCAGAGACGAGAACCAGAAAGTCCTGATATCAGGTCTCTGACTGCCTTTCTGTGGCTCAGAGAATATACTTTAAATACTATAAAATATACTTTTTTTTATACCATTTGGGTGATACACCACACAACACTCAAAACGTTGAAAATATAAGCATTTATTGCATTAAGCTGATGTCACCTCTAAACCCTTGGATCTGTGCTCTTTACCTGTGAGCCCGCCTCCCCCTGCCCGCGGTAACGTAGCCTCACGCCGACTTTGTGAACACAGAACAATTTAGCTTTGCATTGTACTTACAGATCGCAGCTCTTTTGCTTGCAGATTTAACACAGGTTTCCAGATCAGTTCAGTCTCATGGTTTCATTGGAGAGGTGTCTCACACAAACTCAGATTTGATACAAATTTCCAAGGCAGATCCCCGTGAGTAGAATGCCTCTTGCACATTCTTCATCTTTGGGTCAAATTCCCATAGTTACATCCAAAAACACATTTCCTCAAGTTGACTTGATGCTAACACTTTTAGTCACTGTCAATAGCAGAAAAACAGAATAGATGCGAACACAGACTGTGGTAAACTATGGGTTACCCAAGCGCTGGAAAGTCTCTGCGTGCTGATTTGCTGTTTTGGTTTCTCTCTCCTGTCAATCAGTTCCAGGAGGTGGGCTTCTGGAGCTCGATCTATGTGTGAAAGTGTGCTTTGTAACAAAGGGAATCAAGCTGTGAGCCTCTGGGGAAAAAAACATTGCTCTCCAACTAAAGCTTGAGGGAATCAATGAAAAACTACTCTGGGCATGTGTATGACGGCAAAATAGCACTGTCATGATTTTTAAAACAGAGAAAAGTAGAAAACCGTAATATGGGACCTCGCTAACCCCCGCCGGCGGGGGCAAACGAGAAAAAAAATACATCCGCTGGCAATAGCAGATGTATTTTGAACTTCATAAGCCACAAGCTATATATCATTTTAAAGTTTATTTTCTCAGCTGTATTTGTATGTAAGTGTAAACGATATCAGACTTTGCATTAAAAAGATATAACGCGCATAATATGGGCACAAAATAAATCATGTTTGTATAAGTTTTTTACCTTTCGTCTTCTGCTGCTCCAACAAATTAGACTTTCCCCATCCTTGCTCAGTCTCTTTCTCTCTGTAAGTCTTCATTGAAAAAGAATATCAGAAATAATCCAAAAATGTGAATTTTTCTGTTGCAAAAGAAAACGTTCCGAAAAATATTCAGACTTCTCTTTCACATTTCACCAAGTTTGAGCTTTGTTTAGCCCCACAAACATCATATCCACGTGTTCCTTGAGTCCTTAGCTTCAAAAAGAGAGGTTCCATGAAAAGATAGGAGCAGGTTTCAGTCCGCAGGACCCTTGTGAAAAAGACAAACCGCATCCACTTGCAGAGGGTCCGTTTTGCCTTGTTGTTGATTACAGGCTAGCGCAATGTGCTAGCACTGAATGATTGACGTGTCTAAGTAGCCAATAAAAAGAGCTTTCTATTGATGGGTGGGACTTTTAGGAACCCTTTTCATTTTCACAGTAAAAGCGTGCGTAAAGACGCTGTTAGTACTGCTGCACAAATTTTATATGCATTTACACTACTAAAAAATGTAAAAGTAAATCACACAGATTTGTAACTTATAAGTACCAAAACTAAAAAATATGCTTTTCATGATGGTGAAACGTTAGTAAAGCAGTTTGGCACAATTTGGCACAAATTTTGCCAAATTCGTTCCGAATGGCACTACTTGATAAAAAAGAGAAACTGCACAAAAACTATAAAACTTAGAAGTCTGAAACTTTACACAGTTGTTGTCAACAACACAATGAACAAATTGGCGTTGAAATTTTTCTTCTTCCAATGAAGTAGGCTTTTTTAGGGCATTTATACATTGAATTTTTTCCAAACCTTCAAAGGATGCAGAGTGAAATAGGAATGACATACATTATTTCAGTGTATATTTACATAAACTAGAAGGGCCTAGCTTTAAAATGATCCATCACACAAGCATGTGAGATGTAAGATGTGTTTTTAAATAAGCAAAGACATTTGGGTATGCCGAACCTTTGTGCAAGAGCCAAAACAGATGTAGGAGCTTAAGAGGTTAAAGCAGCTCTGCTTGTGTACAAGTCTCTCCATGGCCTCACACTAAAGTACACCTGTGGGGAGCACAGAGACTGGCCTCTTGCTGGGACTTTGCGGAGCACTCTGGTTCCCAGAGTGAAGATGGGCCTCCCCATGTTTGTGTTTTAGTGTTTCAGATCTATGCCACTAAAATCTCAAACTGTCTTCTTAAGAATGTGGGATAGCCTTCTACTCTGACAGCGCTCAAACCTACATTTAAAATAGTTTTGTTTCTGCAACAACTGAAGGATGGTACTCTTTTAATGCTCCGGGATTATTTATGATATAATGTTTATTTTCTTGATTTGTGCAGCACTTTGAGTTTTCTTGTGTATGAACATTTTATTTCCCCTTGTGTCCTCAGCCACCGCTGCCCCCAGCCCCACTTCACTAACCTGGGAGGACTTTGCCCCGAGCTGCCGGACCCACGCTTCCCAGCTCCTGCCCTGGGCTCGCGTCCCGGTGAAGCTGCTGCCTCCTGGAGGTCGGGAGGTGTCACTGCAGCCGCACGTGGAGGAAGCTCTGATCAACATTACACTTCAGGCTGATCTCCAGAAGCTTAGACAAGAGCAGGCTATGGAGCTCATTGCCTCTATGCTCACAGACACAGCACCCTCTCAGCTGTGGAGGAGGACTGCAGAGAAGAAACAAGGAGATGGTAAATGTCTGACTAAGGCCACTAGAATACTGGAATACCCATCCATATCACCCAAACCACAGATTGAACAATGTAATAGCATTTTACTCACTGTGATCACATCCCAATCACAGGTATCTTTCCTACAAGCACGCAATAGCAATAAGATGGAGACAGCATGTTGTGGTCTGATTTAGGGCAGGGTGACAATCTCAATTTACAATTCAAATTTTTTGTTTTACTTTTATTGAAAACAAAGCAAAACTGGAACGACAGAAGTGATTTTCATTGCCAAACTTTCACACCTCGTCCATGGGAGCAGCTCCCGCTCTCAACATCGACCTCCCTGAGGTTTCTCACTTTTTTCCCACTGGGTTTCAGAGTGGTTCCTTGCCAATGCAGGAGGGGCAAATTGACACACATTTGTAAAGCCCTCCGAGACGACTGCTGTTGTGATTTTGGGCAGTACACAAATACATTGAATCCCATTAATCTGATTTGTTCCCTACATTCAACTTTTGCAAGACTCACTCGGTTAAACAAACTGCAGTATTTGTAATGTCTATGAAACCCCAGCTTTAAAACTCATGTATTTCTATCTGAACTAGACTCATCAACCATTGGTTTGGAGGTGTCCATGGCTGTGGTGACGCAAGTGAAACCAGAGATAGTTCGCCAGGAGCAGAAAGTCCCCTGGTTTCTCCAGAAGAACTTGAACTTTTCCATCGGACAGAACGCTCTTTTGACCAACAGCACACGCTCCATCACCATCCAGTGCCACGCCACAGGACCAAAGCCCAAAGTCGTTTGGAGCAAGGATGGAACACTGCTTCAGAGAAACAGCAGGTAAATAAGAGTTTGGTCTTTAGTCTGTAACAATAGTGATGTTGCTTTTTGCATTTTGGGGGTGAGGGACCAAAGAGAGAGACCAGCGAGAGACCAGACAGAGAGAGATAGACCGGAGGGGGAGAGAGAGAGAGAGAGAGAGACCAGAGAGCGAGACCAGACAGAGAGATACCAGAGAGAGACACCAGAGAGAGATCAGTTGTCCATCCATCCATCCATTTTCTTCCGCTTCATCTGTTGCCGGGTCATGGGGGCAGCAGTCTAAGCAGAGACGCCCAGACATCCCTATCCCCACACACTTTCTCCAGCTCGACACCAAGGCGTTCCCAGGCCAGCTGAGAGACATAGTCTTCCCCGGACCTCCTCCCGGTGGGACGTGCCCGGAACACCTCCCCAGGGAGGCGTCCAGGAGGCATCCGGAACAGATGCCCGAGCCACCTCAACTGGTTCCTCTGGATGTGAAGAAGCAGCGGTTCTACTCCGAGCTCCTCCCGTGTGACTAAGCTCCTCACCCTATCTCTAAGGGAGCGCCCAGCCACTCTGCGGAGGAACCTCTTTTCGACTGCTTGTATCCGCGATCTCGTTCTTTCGGTCATTACCCAAAGCTCATGACCATAGGTGAGGGAGGGAACGAAGATTGACCGATAAATCGAGAGCTTTGCCTTTTGGCTCATCTCCCTCTTTACCACGACGGTCCGGTACAGCGATCACTGCGCACGCTGCACCGATCCGCCTGTCAATCTCACGCTCCATCCTTCCCTCACTCGTGAACAAGACCCCAAGATACTTTAACTCCTCCACTTGAGGAAGGACCTCTCCACCCACTTGGACAGGGCAAGGCACCTTTTTCCGGTTGAGAGGCATCATGGCCTCGGATTTGGAGGTGCTGATTCTCATTCCAGCCGCTTCACACTCGGCTGCAAACTGTCCCAGTGCATGTTGCAGGTCCTGGTTCGTTGGAGCCAACAGGACAACATTGTCCGCAAACAGCAGGGCTGAAATCCTGGGGTTTCCAAACTGGACCCCCTCCGGCCCTTGGCTGCGCCTAGAAATTCTGTCCATAAAGACAGTGAACAGAACCGGTGACAAAGGGCAGCCTTGGCGGAGGCCAACATGCACCGGGAATAGGTCTGACTTAATGCCGGCAATGCGAGCACAGCTCTGGCTCCGGTCACACAGGAACCGGATGGGCCCTCAGCAGAAGACCCCGGACCCCATACTCCCGGAGAACCCTCCAAAAGACACCCCGGGGAACAAGGTCGAACGCCTCTCCATTTTGGGTTTAAATCTATGATTTAGCGCTTTCTGTGAGCCTGGTGTTGCCATTTTCAGTTAATGTATGTATGTACGTCACTGGAGATCAGTTGTGTTTTACACAAACACAACTGTGAGAGCTCAGTTGTGTTTAACAATTAAATGAAGTTAAGTCAAAACTGTAGAGCAGGGGTCACCAACCTTTTTGAAACCAAGAGCTACTTCTTGGGTACTGATTAATGCGAAGGGCTACCAGTTTGTTACACACTTAAATAAATTGCCAGATATGGCCAATTTTCTCAATTTACCTTTAATTCTATGTTTTTACTAATAATTAATGATATTTATTTTGTGGAAAAACTTTTATATTTTCTCTGAGTGCACATTTTTCAAATTTAACAAATGATCACTTCTAAGACAGTCCCATTTAATCGCAATTAATCACATTTTAATCGCATATAAATATTTGACCTGAGAACAGTGAGAAGTATTTTTTTTCACATGGATTTTTAGTTTACCATTGAATAATGACTGAATACATGAGGCTTAAGCAACACATGTTAATATGGAGTTTAAGGGATAACTTCTAAACATCAAATAACGTTTCTGTCATTGCCTCCACACTCTGACGACAACATATGCTCCTCCTCCTCACACTGACAACAACATACTCTTTTTAAGCCCAAAATCCACTGCACACGCTGTGAGCACTAAAGCTGGGCATGCGCTGTTTGCTAAAGCTTTTATAATACGTTTTTGATGTGTGCATTCGGAGTAAACATCAGCATTAGCAGCTCACACACCTGTGTCTCGCTCCTCCTTCTCCTCCTCCTCCTCCTCCGCTCACACAGGAGTCACTGCTCTTTCCCGTCTAATTTACTCGAATTTAAAGTTGGTCTCTGCTTGTAATAATGTACTTTTGAACAAGAAAAGTCACGGAGCTCCGGTTGGTGCGTCAGTTCAATTGGTCCGTCTGAAACTTATTCAGTGAGGAACGTTCCGCGGTGCAAAAATACATACGATTAAAATGCGTAATTTTTTTAACGCGCTTTTTTGTGTGTAATTAATTAATCTTTATTAACTTGTTAAAGTCCCGGCTCTAGTTTATATGCCATTTGTAAGTTGCATGTAAGTATGATTTAAACAAGAATAGCACTGGTAAGTGCTGCCATTTGAGCTATTTTTAGAACAGGCCTGCGGGCGACTCATCTGGTCCTTGCGGGCAACCTGGTGCCCGCGGGCACCGCGTTGGTGACCCCTGCCGTAGAGCATACAGTATATCAGGAGTAGATCAAGTGTGACATCACTAGTGTTTGCCGAATGTATAAAAAGCATGTCGGGCATTTTGCAAGCTGAAGTTTTCCTCGTCAATGAAGGCATCTGATTAATTAATCCTTATAAAGCTCATGGATTTACAACAATATCACATTATAAACACCAGGATCACAGAAAGCGCTAAATCATAGATTTAAACCCAAAATGGAGAGTGTGACACACACAGAGAAATTAACTTTTTCATCTATGTCAATAGGAGCCAGAGCGATTTCACCATGAGCAATTCCCTAAAAAGCAATAACTAAAACAATCAAATATGCACATGTATCACCTTTTGGAAAAATAAAGTTAACTATTTAGACATTTTAAGAAGCTATACCCAATTTTCTTTTTAAAATTAGTGGTAGCACTTTATATTAATGGTACATGAGTTCATGCATGAATTAATGCATGATTTCATGATACATTCATGCATTACTAGATCATGAATACTCATGAACTAACATGATTACATGTAGGTTCATGGATGACTTCATCCATAAATAAAATGATCAACCTATCATGACTCATGAGAACATACATGAACGTTATGACTCATGAGGATCATACATGAAGATGATGACTCATGAGGATCATATACATGAACATTATGACTCATGAGGGTCATACATCAATCAATCAACGTTTATTTATAGAGCGCCTTTCCTACACAAGGCAACGCAAAGCGCCTCACAACCCATATAACATCATGCATAAATCATCAAACATTAGAATTTAAGTAAACATAAAAACACAGATTAAGAGCACAAGATATATAAAATCAAACAAGTAGTTAAAAACCGTAAAACATTAAAATCACACAAGGGATTACAATCATAAATAATCATAAATAATCATAGCGCATTAAAAAGATTAAAGATAAAAACAAATATAAAATCATTCACTTGTATGCACAGCTAAAAAGAACTGTTTTCAGTTCAGTTTTAAAAACTGCTAGAGTAGACGCCTGTCTCACACTCTCGGGAAGACGGTTCCAGACTCTAGCTGCATGAATCTGAAACGCAGCCTCCCCATGTCTAGTTCCGACTCTTGGCACTAACAGAAGTCCAGTCCCTGTGCTCCTCAGAGCCCGAGTTGGTTCATATGGCACCAACATGTCGCGGATGTACCCTGGTGCGAGGCCATGGAGAGACTTGTACACAAGTAAAGCTACTTTAAAATCTATTCTCTGAGCCACAGGAAGCCAGTGCAGAGACCTGAGGACCGGACTAATGTGGTCGTACTTCCTGGTTCTAGTCAGGACTCGAGCTGCAGCATTTTGGATGTACTGCAGCTGTTTTACCGCTTGTTTAGAGAGACCTGTGAACAAGCCATTGCAGTAGTCCAATCGACTGGAGACAAATGCGTGGATAAGAATCTCCAAGTCTGCTTTAGACACAATGTTTTTAATTTTAGCAATGTTTCTTAGGTGGAAGTAAGCTGATGATGTCACAGATGATATGTGGCTATGTACATGAACATGATACTCATGAGGGTCGAACATGATGACTCATGAGGGTCATACATGAACATGATGACTCATGAGGGTCATACATGAACATGATGACTCATGAGAATCATATACATGAACATTATGACTCATGAGGGTCATACATGAAGATGATGACTCATGAGGATCATACATGAACATGACTCATGAGGATCATACATGAAGATGATGACTCATGAGGATCATACATGAACATGACTCATGAGGATCATACATGACCATGATGACTCATGAGGATCATACATGAAGATGATGACTCATGAGGGTCATACATGAAGATGATGACTCATGAGGATCATACATGAACATGACTCATGAGGATCATACATGAAGATGACTCATGAGGGTCATACATGAAGATGATGACTCATGAGGATCATACATGAACATGACTCATGAGGATCATACATGAACATGATGACTCATGAGGATCATACATGAACATGACTCATGAGGATCATACATGAAGATGATGACTCATGAGGATCATACATGAACATGACTCATGAGGATCATACATGACCATGATGACTCATGAGGATCATACATGAAGATGATGACTCATGAGGGTCATACATGAAGATGATGACTCATGAGGATCATACATGAACATGACTCATGAGGATCATACATGAAGATGACTCATGAGGGTCATACATGAAGATGATGACTCATGAGGATCATACATGAACATGACTCATGAGGATCATACATGAACATGATGACTCATGAGGATCATACATGAACATCATGACTCATGAGGGTCATACATGAACATCATGACTCATGGCATGACTCAAATCTACTGCAAATTATGGACGACACGATGTGCAACTTTCTTGGACAACATTTACAGCAGTCATGAACTCATCATTAGCTAATCCTTAATACATCATGATTTCATCATGATTGTGTCCCCTCT